AAAGACATGGTACGAGACATACAATAAAGCAACACCTTGAAACTGTTGCTAAAGTAGTATTATTAAGTCTGACATGTACTTCTTGCAACAAAGGAGGAGGATAGAAGGAGACTCTGTGAGCATGTAAACATATCTGGAACATAGAAAATAACGATAGAATAATATCATTTAAGAATTGTGAGTGTTTATCTGTTATGAGTAGACATGTTGACACAAAAAGTGATAAACTGATGTCCCTCTTAGGTCATTGATGAAAAATATTAAATCTTCACAAATACTAAATGGATTTAATTGATTAGTGTTCCAGTACCGTATTCAAGCTCTGAATCCTTTAATGTCCTTTTGGAATAGTTGCTTAAAAAGATGACTTGCCATTGTACCATTGTACGAGATCTCTCTCCTTTTTTGCACATGTTTTGATAGTTAACCCTAAAACAGGGATCCTGATCCCGTTCATCTTTATTGGAACTATGAGAGTTAAAAAGGAGGCTAGGTGGATGTGAGTTCAGTGAAACTCTTTCCTACGGTGGAAAATCATCACATAATTGAACATCTCTGAGAACATCTCCATTTGGGTTCTCTTCACATTGATTATGCTCACCAGTCCATTCCAGGTGTTTGCTTGTAGATAAACTTAGGGCTTTATGTTCAGTTGTTGATGCTCTGTGTGTTTTTCTAACTGCCTTCATCGCTTCAAGCTGTTAAAGCAAAACTATCTCAGAACTAGCATTGCTTTTTTCCCCCCACTGTGTGTGTATGTGTTAAAAGTACAGAGGTCGATGTGGTGTGTGTTCCCTGGGTGGCACTTAACAGAGACATCATTGGCCATTACAGCCCATTACTGTCAATGGTCAATGACCAGTATATGTCCTGCAGTTATCTTAACAAGATGGCAGCCCATAACCGCTCCCACCCTGGATGAACTCTTCTGGTGTCTGTGCTGAAGACAGGAAACAGTAAATGGCCACAGTTACACAACCTTTAATTGTTGCTCTGGATTCTTAGCCGCTCTCACTCACAGAGGCGGAGCTGCTCTTTGTTTGCTTTCATAGACGTAACATCTCTGATGATCATGACTAAACAGCTCCTTTCTGATGAAGATCTCCTTATTTTGAAGGAGCAGAGGCTCCACATGTGGAGCCCCTGCTGAGTGCACCCACATGCTGGCTCATTTACAGCTCTGTCTCTCTGCATTTTGCAGCATTTATCAGTGTGTATGTATACCCTATGATGTAACTGATATCAGTATACATGTTGCAAAGCAGGTGTCTGTGCCCCCCCTCCCTCCCTTGCTAACAGTATATAAAGAAAAACAATCACATCTGTGTTCTGATCCATGTGCTGCTTTTGCACTTTGCATATATGTGACTGTATGTGCGCTGAGATTCCTCCACAATTTTTCCGTGTTTTTTCTGTATTTATATGTGGCTGATATGTTGGTGTTCCAGCCTTAGATGAACAACACTGGGTTGTATTTATAGATGGTCGCCATGGAGCTAAGAGACACTTCCTGTGTTCACTGATAGTTACCCAGCTTGTTGATTCTTCCTTTGTTCAGCCTTTTTCTTTCCTTTTTGCATTGTCTAAATTTTTTTTTCTTTACTCTCGTTCACTTCCTCCTGTTTTCTTTTCTTTACCTTTAAAACATATCATTTGCCCTCACCTTCTCCCTGTAGACGTCGCCTTTTCCGTTTGATCATTTGGAAATTTGATCACGTTACAATCAGTGAATTTTATTGGGCTTTTATAAAAGACAAACACAAAGTAGTAATTGTGAAGGAGAAAGATGATGTGAGTTTCATAAAATAAAGTATGCTGTGTATTTGTTTTCCTCCCTGTTGAGGTGAATCATTCAGAGCCAATTTTGGCTGCGGTTGCAGCTGCAGGTCTGAGGTATGTGTGGAAAATCTTTGCATGAGTTTAGATTGAAGTTGTACATTTTTTTTATTTATTGTTGGATGGAGAACAGAGGATTTTGCCATAGATAATCATTCTACAGCTTGCCTTGACTTTGACTTGGGCCACTCTGAACATGAATGTTAGCTGTTTCTGGTATTTCCCAGTCGGTAGCTTGAGCGTCTTTGTTCGCATATTTGCTGCGTCTCTTACATGGTTTCTGAACAACTATAAAAAAGATTTCCTACTTGCTTCATTTTAGTAAGGACTGGCTTGCCTAACCTGTCTGCTGAGAGCTGATTGGCTGATTAAACAACAAACCATGAGGCATTGATATTTTATAGGATTAAAGTACATTATAGCCCTCCTAAAATAAGTGTTTTCCCCTCTGCTTCATAGTTAGACAGTAATTCAATTCAGTTTATTTATATAGCGCTAATTCACAACACATATAATCTCAAGGCACTTAACAGAGATAATTCGACTAGGTCATATAGTGAAATTGATTCAAAGCATTCTTTCTAAGGAAAACCAGTTGATTGCATCAACTCATTGACTCGAAGGCAATCCCTCACACTAAGCGTGCATGTAGCGACAGTGGAGAGGAAAAACTCCCTTTTAACAGGAAGAAACCTCCAGCAGAACCAGGCTCAGTGTGAGCGGCCATCTGCAGATGCCGACTGGGGTTCAAGGAGACAGAAGTAGACACACAGAAAGAAGCAGAGATACAAAAAGCAACTGTAAAAGGCGGCCCCGTTCAGGAAACAAACTGCCAGGAAGGCGAGCTCTGAGGCAGCTCCCATGACAGAGGAATAATAGAGAACATCTGTGTTTCTCTTATCTAAAAACCCAATAAAAGACTCAGGAGTTTGCGTTTGTAACATAATTAGTTCCAATGGTTTTACTTTTTTAGGATCTCCCTTCCTTTTTATTTTTTCTCCTTCTGTTACCAACATCTTTCATGTTTTTTTTATTCACATCCAGTCCCTCCATTTTAAATCTCTAATTCGCTGCGTTTTTCTTCCTCCATCCTCAGAGCGTGGACCCCGTATGAACAACACCTCCCAGCTGCCGTCTGGAGCTACCCTGATTTCAGGAAGCGGTAAAGGCACTGGAGGGCCTGGCATCGGCGGCATCCTAAGCGGGAGCATGAGGCACAACAGCAGCCACCCGTCTTTCTCCCACTCCTTCCACAACCTGGCCCAGCTGCCGCCGTCCTACGAAGCGGCCATGAAACCTGAGCTCAGCCGCTACAGCTCCCTGAAAAAACTGGGTAAGGCTCCGCTGATTTTATTGAGGCTCACAGATCATCAGAGAAATCGCACATGTAACCAAGGGTCAAATACTTTAAGGCAGCTCCTTATCATTTTTTCTTTACGACTCTTTAAAACACCAACTGTTTGCAGTGAATATTGCTCAGAGCCATAAGCTGCATGTCCTTGTTCACCTGACATGTTCCATCACCTCCTCCACAGACATAAAGCTGCATCATTTCAGTTAGTCCTACCAGTTAACATATGCCGACAGACTTAAAACCTGTTTGTTTCAGCACCATCTGTTGCCCCAAAATGTGGAAAATGTTTATATTAGGAGTGTCAGGATCTTTTTTCACATGTTCTGGTCCAAGACATTAGAAAATAGAGCGTTTATTTCCTGATATCGAGGCTTAGTGTTAAAATGAAATGAAAACTACTTTTTTTCCATAGAATGTCAGCTTTCTCTCAGCAATGATGATCTTTAAAATGTAAAATCTTTTCTTTTCCCCCCAGTCAGTTTCTGTGGGATAATAAGCTGTTTCAGCGCAGCCTTAACTAGAGCAGGAAAGGAGCTGTCATTTTTCTAATCATACTTTAGTTCTAAACATCTCAACATCTATTACCAAATAAAACGGGTTTGAAAAAAAACAGAGTTCCTCTGTTTTTTGGAAATTTCTTCATAATTTTTTATTTGAATATGAAGTAAAGAAAGGAAAAAATGATATTTTGATCTGTTTGAAAGTATAATTACGTCCTAAATATAACAATTAGTCCAATTTGATTCAATGCATTTTTGGTTCAGTAATAATGTTGACACTCATACCTGCTCAATCTCTCACCTGTTCTGTAGAATAAAGAAATCAATTAAACTGAACCTGTATGACAAGACGAAGTAGGCAAAAATATCTTATATTATATATAAGATATTTATATATATATATATATATATATATATATATATATATAAACGATCAATTAATAATATTTTTTTTCTTTAAATAAGTGCATTTGTTCTTGAATTAAAGAGGTAAGTGAAACACTTTGCCGATGGAACAATTCTTATTAAATTAAGTCTCCTTATTTACTACTGAAATTAATGGTAAATAAACTTAATTTTAGAAATGACATTTCTAAATCGTTTTTACAGTGCATCTAGTGCTTTGGGATTAATATGTACCATCATGAGAGCTATCCTCCACAAATGATAACCGGCACTCTCTGGGACTCCGATACGTATTGGTATGAACCTTTAAGCGTCTAGCCAGGGGAGGCACAGCTCTGGGTTTTGGGGGTGATTAATTTTTCATAGAATAAAATTTTGCAGGTTTTCTTTTCTATCCTTTAAAAAAGAAATTTGCATTTTATAAAAAGCATTTTGTTTTTACTTGTTTTTAACTCGGTCTGCTATAAAAAATTATTCAGAAATATTGTAGTAGAGATATTTATATGCAGAGCACGCTGTCAAAGTGCTAGGCCAACAATGACTTACTTTTACCTGTTGGTGAAGATTTATCATTATTCTGTCCATTCCAGGAAATCCTCTGTGGATAAAACTAAAAGTTGTTTCCCTGGTTCATAAACCTGCTGCTTTTATTCTGAACATCACAATGTTTTATGTGTGATTATTAAGTCTCTCTGTCTGCATGTTTTGAACATCCCTTAAATGTTTCCCTCTTGTTGCAAACATTTATTCAGACAAAGCTCAGATATTTTAATATGCAGGTCATTTTAATATTTTTTCCTCCTCCATGACAGAATAAATTAGAGGCATTTAAGTTATTTGCAATATCCTTCCTTTGATGCAATGATGGAATTTAGAGATTTAAGCATCTGGATCTGGAATACTCAAGTACTCTAAGTTGTCCTGTTCTGCAATATCAAAACATTACCTTGAATAGTACATTTACTTTTGATAATAGTGGCCAATGTAACAAACACTGATTTTTATTTATTTATTTTTGCTATACTGGTGCTCTCTGTCACTCTAAATTCTGTTCTGTTCTGTGATTTTTAAACTTTTTCTTTACACAAAAAAAAAGAAAAAATGAAAAAAAAAGTATTTGAGGTGTTGGGTTCTGTTGGTTGGTTAAAGATACCTTACCCTTATGTACGCCTTTTTTCCCCCTCATTATTCTCTCTGTTGAAGGATTAGTGACAAAAAGTGCAAAGTCGCAGAATCACCTCCTAGAATTCAGACAGGCAGAAATGTATACGACGGTTGTTCTGAGATTTTGTTTCTTTTAGACATGCAGAGGATTTGAATGCGGGAGCAGAAATGTCAAAATCAGTCAGACTGACCGTAATGCTGAGTTTAACCTGTCAGAGAAAGGGGAAAAGAGCTATGTGGGCGCTTTTTGCTTCATTTTTTGCTTGCTGGTATAATGTTCTGCATTATTTGGCAGGACTGGGGGCAGATCTGTACTATAAATTTTCTGTTTTATAGATGCAAAACAGGTTATATAAAAGTCCCATTTACCTTAGGTCAGCAGCTGTGTTTATCATCCTGATAAAAAATCTGCTGCATTTATTGTGGATCATTTGAGGGAGATTTGTGTGGAGAAGTGACAGAAAGCTTGACTGAAAGTGGTAAAGAAAAGCAGCAGCATAAAGCAGACGACAGGGAGCGGCAGAGATGAGCAGGATAGGAGTGGATGAACGAGTGAATTTAAAGAGAAGGATTGATCGAAAGACAGAGAGGAATGTTAAAGGAGCTGACAGGATGAATAACGATCCGGCATGAAGGTAGAAGATAGAGGAGGATGCTGATGCAGAGGTCAAGGGAGCCAGTCGGGGGAAAAAAAGCAGAGTGAAAGAAGGCACTTGTGGAAAGAGATAAGGGGGGTGCGGGTCTGCAGAGGCTTGGCTGCTTTCAATGAGGAGGAAATGATTTTCCAGGCAGTGACTGCTGCCTTTACTTCACTCACTCTGTGATGGCTGAGGACTGCGGGGGGAGGGGAGGTTCTCTGCAGACCAGCGGAGGATGTGTGCAACCAGCTTGGCTCTGCATGGAGGGAAAACTGTCAGGCAGAATCCATAGGAGGCGCTTTATTATTTCAAATTAATCAAAAGGAGAAAATCTCGTATAGATATGGCAGTTCAGTAAGGGAAAAGATCTCTTCTGTGTCAAGCAGCAGATGACCTGACTCTTGGCTAAATAATACAGAAAGAATAAGATTCCAGTCGTGCATTTTTCCTGCTGGTCACATTAATTCAAAAACGATTTATTTTGGATCCCGAAATCCCAAATTAATCCCAACAAGCAGAGATCTCAATCTGGAGAGGTATGAGAATTTGAATGAGGACTTAAAGTCGCAAGGAATTCTGGCTTAAACATGTATATAAATGTAATCTTTATCAGACGATATTGTCCCAAAAGTTCAAAAACATCTATAAAAAAACAAAACAAAAACCCTGTCTTAAAATCTGTGGGGGATTTTTTCTTTGTTTTATGCAGGCCAGTTAATTATACGTCAGCTTGTACATCTAAATTCGGCCAATCATATATCAACGGTCATCTGTCAATCAAATTTTTTTGGTCATAGCATCTTGATTCATATGTCGTATCTAATATACGCAAGGTTGAAATAAGAAATAAGTATAATTTCCTTTACCATTGAGTTCCGTCCCAGTGTTCACGGGGATGGACGTCTGTATCTTCGGCAGGCGTAGAGCTAACAGAACTGGCAACGTTGCGAGGCAAGGGCTCAAACATGTACGGCTGTAAGCCTTCTACACCAAACCAAGCTTCTGCCGCCCTGGCATCCACTTCCACAACAACTTCGTCTCCACTTTCCTCCTCTAAATAAAAAATGCATGATGTAGGAGATTCATCCACACCCTCTGATACAAAACTCTCCTTCTCTTGTATGTTTCCGCTGTCCATAGCGTTCCTTGACAGTGTCGTTTCTAAGTCACCGATTTAGTGCTACTTGGTTCCAATGGAATTTCCCTTTGGGAACCTACTAGCACTAAGTTGCTAACTGGTTAGCAAGATGCTTCAGAGACACCGGCCACAACCAAATTTGCTTGCAAACCTTCCGCCACAACAATCCCGCCCCCCGGATAATTGACCAATCACATTTACTTTATTCACTCGTGTAAAGTCGGGCACCAATCGGGAGAATTCGGAAATGCAACCATTGGAACAGTCGCTTCCCTACAACTTTAATTCTAAAATCTGCTAACCTGTACTTATATAGCGCTTTTTCAAGTCAGGAGACTTGACCAAAGTGCTTTACACCACATTCAGTCATTCACCCATTCACACGCACACATTCACACACTGATGGCGGATAGCTACATTGTAGCCACAGCTGCCCTGTGGCTCACTGACAGAAGCGGGGCTGCCGTACACCGGCGCCACCGGGCCATCTGCCCACCATCTGTATGACTTCTGATGACTGCTGATGAAGCTCTGTAGAGGTTGGATCAAATTGTGACTTCAGATCATTAAACCTGCCTATGAACAGGTAAAGTTAAATTGGTGATATTTCAGTGCTGGGCTTAGTCACATGGACTTGATTTACCCTAAAATATCTCTCACTAAATTTAAACTATATTTGTTTACAGCTGTTTTTGTTTTTCATTATAACTAACCACAAAAATTGCACCTCACGCTACACTTGGACTGTAAATGACACAAAATTGTCAAATTATTCTGGCTTTTGAGGGGCAATTTTACCGTTTGATTTTCTAAGAGCCTTTATTTTGGGATATTGAGGCCGTTACATTGTTGTGTCACAGCTAAAAACATTGATAGAGGTCGTTAATATGAAGGTATTTAAAAACATTAAGGATGTAATGAATGGACAACTTTTTGGAATAGTACTACAAATAAAAACAAAGTTATACAAACGCAATGAACGGCTGACATTCTCCATTTTATAAATGTGTGTACTTTAGCATGTGTCACATGATTTAAAGAGTACATGTGAAAAAATAAAGTATTTATGTAAAGCTCTGTGAGGTAGGCTCTGTCTATGCGTCCTGTCACACAAAGGATTGTGGGAAACCATAAAGTGCCTGCTTCCTCCTTATTTCCTGCCATAACTATTTAGATTGCAATTTTTATCGCGATTGCAGATGCACTTCTGCAGTGGCTTAAATGTCCTCAACGATTAGAGGTATTTGGGTTGAGCCCATATGAATATCAAGCTCCTGCTTCACTTTTATGCACTTTTTCCCTAAATCTAATTTCCCTTTACTTTTTTACTGAAGGCTTAAATGAGGAGGCGTTCGAGTGGGTAGCCCAAGAGTCAGTAATGCTACAAAATCTATGATAAATCATTAAATAAAATCTTCAGCTTTTTTTTTTTTTTTTTTTTAACAAAATGGCTCCAGTCTAACAATTCTGAATGAAACTCAGATATCTGAACCCCTATTCAGCTATTCAGCCCTGGCAGAATGGGGCTCACAATAAGCCTGGTGCTGGAGGTTTCCTCCTGTAAAAATGGGAGTTTTCCTCTCCACTGTTGCTGCATGCATGCTCTGTGTGAGGAATTGCTGCAAAGTCAATGACTGCACATGATCAGCTGGATTTCATGACAGAAACTTTTAACCCACCTGTCTGGATGATCGGATTGAATTGTCTCTGTAAAGAACCATGAGAGGATATGCATTGAATTGGCTCTATAGAAATAAACCTAATTCCAATGCAAAACGATTTTAGAGGATTTCATTTATGAAAAGTGTTGGTAAGCTCTTTCACATTTCCTTACGAAGCATTCATACTGTAAAGTTTTTGAGTTTTAATTCCCACATTTGCATCCATTTATACATCTACAGAAGTTTATTATCTTTGTCCAAATGCCCCAAAGCAGCTGATCTATCCATACAGCTTACAGTAATGTTTTGGGGTTATTGTATTATTATTATACTTTCTATTAAATAAGTGTTAGTAAATAGCTTTTTTTGTGCTATTGGACATCAGAATGGATTGAGGATAAATATTTTATCTATACACTTAGCTGCCCCAACAGCTCTTTTACTATTTGAATTAAAGCATTATTTTTGAAAAAATAAATAAAAACATACCTTCATAAAACAGTTTCTATGAAGCAAATGTATCAAGGCGGTAGTGAAATGTCAGTATGACACAGAGAGCGAAGGAGAAAATGCTCTCTCAGCCGCTGCTGAATGAAACCTGCTGCTTTTGATGTGCTTCCCTGCAGAAATGCCATCGATAAAGGCTTCTTTGTCTGCAGCCAGGCAGAAAAAAAAATACAACAAAAACCTTGAGATAATTTGGCCTTAAACAAAGCCATGGAGGAGAAAAGAGGGAGGACAAGGTGAGGACATGAGCTCAGTGAGAATAAAAAGGGAAATGAGGAAAATGAGAGGTTGATAGAAAACATCTAGATTTGGCGGAAATTAAGGGAAGATGGAGAACAGCGAAGGAAGAAGAAGAAATGGAAAGGAAGAGACCTGAGAAGGAGAGAAGAAAAAAAAGACAAGAGGGGCGGAAGAGGTAGAGAGGTGGCTGGTTAAAGGTCAGGTTTTAAATTGGCTCATGGGGAGCTGCTTCCATGGAAATACTTTGAAGATTAAAGCAGACTGAGGCTATGGAGCAGAAAGCACATAAATGCCGTTTCTTTCAAAATTAATGAACACTTTCTTCTCTGTTGTCCTACTTCATCCAGCCTCTGTTACTTTGGGTTTTTCGCACATCATCCTTTCTCATGTTTTATGCTTTTATTGTCTTCCCTTCTGTTTCCCCATTTTAATTTCTGCTCTTAATGTTTACCCTTTGTTTAAATTTCCTCTTTTTGTCTTTCCTGTCAGGTTGTCCTTTCTTGCACACTGAATAAATTATTTGAAAGAAAACTACCTTTTAGCTGCTTTTCTCACAGTAGGCTGGCTGGATGTTAAACACACATTTCAGACCATATTTCAAATTAAACTAATCTGACCTGAGTAAATGCAGAAAGTCATTTTTTTCAGTCATTAATGATTAAAGCAATCCAAACTAACCTGAAAATATAATTGCTCTCTAAGCCTAATTACTGCCGTGCCACTTTTGGCAAGAATAACTATGATGAAGCATTTGAGATAACTGGCAAGGGGCCTTTTTGTATGTCGATGGGAAGGAGGGTTGGCCGACATTGAAATGTTATTTAAGACAGCAGAAATTCGTTGTTCCATCAGTTACAATGAACCCTTCAGCATCAGACACAGAAAAGCAGCTACAATCACTATTTTTTGATGTGATATTAAGGGTAATTTTAATTAAAGATGAATCAGGAAACACCTTTCAGAAAGTTTTAGTCATGTCTTAGTCAAGAGAATACTTTCCCAGAAATCTCAGAGACCATCAGGATGTTTCTGTTTATTTGATTGAAGATCACTTTGTTCCTGTTAATCAGCGGTGGTTTTCTTCATCATAGAGGTCTTCATGGATAACTAGTTTTGATCATGACAATGGACCTTAACTGTAGCCTGCAGCACTTAAGATGTTCAGAATTACTGAGCCCTCTCTGAGTAATTCTGATGGGTTGTCCACTTCCATGTTTAATGTTTCTTTCTATTTATGGTTTTAAAGCTTTCAAAATTACCTTTTAATTCAGACTGATGGCTGTTAATGACTTTGTTTCTTAGAAGTTCTTAAAGGTATGGTTGAGGATTTTCGCAAATTTTTGTAAAGACCTGCACTCTTCACTTAAAAAAAAAAAAATGCACATGCACAACCCTGTACCCGAGAGGGAATGCCTATTATACGCGTGCAGGAGCGTGCACAAGCCTATTTCTCCTCATGCATGCTCTGTTTAAAAATTGCTGTTTGCATCGGTCTTACAAGCTTACTTTCCAAAAAAAAGATTTACAATTCTTCCATTATGTCAGACTCACCACCGGTAGCTAAAAGGAGTATGAACATGTGGGATGGCCTTACATATGCATATCACCGGATTGACTGACAATTAGGAGGACCACATGATTTAATGATCCACCTGGAAAAAGAACATCCTCTACTATACTTTTAAATTTCCCTAGACTTGGAACTGATGTGTCATATTTTTATACTAGGGATGTTTTATCTTCCTTCAGGTTCTGTTTCAGTTATTTCTACACTCTACTGGTCTGGTTGCCAACTGTCCTAGCTGTTATCAATAAAATGTAGTCATGTTAATAATGTTTTGTTCATAATTACTTAGTTAAGATAGATGTGTACCCTATATACAATAAATCAAACTAACTATATTTTAAATGTATTAAAATCTTTAAACATATTACCCCTTTAAGTATATGTTTAAGTAGATAGATAGATAGATAGATAGATAGATAGATAGATAGATAGATAGATAGATAGATTTTTTTAATTGGTTTTGTACATTTAAATTTATTTTACTGGCAGCAGATTTCTTCTGTCTTCTGTATGAAAACTGTCAAGCACAACTGTACATATGGTGATGTATCTTTTCTGGTTCTTGAGGGCCGGATTGGGCCCCCAGGAGTTTGACACATGTTGTAAGGCAGTTCTATTCAGCTGGTCTATATTCAAAAGATAATTAACTGATCTCATTAGCTTATCTTATTGTGTATTCCTTATTATATTAAGATATCTCTAAATGAATTAAAGATATCTTGAATTATTCAGCTTTTCCATTAAAGATATCTTAAAATCACTCTTTTCTTTTTTGTGAAACAGAGAAAGAGCTTGACGAATACTCGGGTTATTACACCTCCAAACGCCGTTCCAACAACGCCCCGCCCTCCTTCCACTCCTCACAGCACCACCTGCCCTGGGGGGGTGACTATACACTAGGATCCAGGGGCACTCTGCCGCTCCACGGCTCCCGCCCACATCTCCACATCCCGGCTTCCACACCAAACCCCTACCCACTCCCCTCCCAGACGCCGTACACCAGCTCCACCTTCGATAGGCCGCCTCGCCGCGTTCGCTCCCAGGACCAGCTGCTGGCCCTCGGGGAGGGTAACACCCTGTCCCGCCTGTCCAAGAACCAGCAGCACCAGTACTACAAAGCCATGATGAGTACCAGCAGGAGCTCCACATCACAGACGCTCCGCAGGTTAGTCCAGAGCCATGACATCAAGAAAAATTAGTTATGACTAGCAGGAATGGGAAAAGGAGAAAAATTAAGTCAGAGAAGAATTAAAATGGATCAAAACATGTGATCCAAAAGAGCTTGAGGAAGGGAAGCAAAGGGAATCAGTCGTTCATAAATAAATCAGGATTGAGACAATTTCATTCAAGTTTTAAAAAAGTCTGACAAGTTAAAAAAACTTTTCAATTTTATTGAAAGAGTTTCTTTTCTGTTTAAAAAAATAATAATTTATAAAAAGTTTTCTCTACTTTTATCAAGCATAGATAAAGAAAGCACTCAGCTGCCACTGTGCACAGCAAAACAGATGGCATAAGATTGATTAGTAAATATTTCTGATCACCAAGGTTACAGATAGCAAGTCACTTTATAATATGTATGCATTCGTATTACTCAGTTTCCTTTAATGTTTTATCAGCAATGAATAATATTTGCATCTGTGTTTGAAAAAGAAAAATTCTGATTTAAAAATCATTTTGTCACTTTGATAACCAGTAAGCTTATATACTGAGGGAGGAGTGGAGAATGATGATGGATGCAGACATGTTGAACAGGGCATAAGGTGAAGCAGCTGATTCAGAAGGAAAGTAAGGAGACTGAGGCTGATTAAGATGAATCAAGCTGAAATAAATAACAAAAAATAGAAAAAACAAGGAGAAAAGAAGCTAAACACAAAGAAATGAATTAATATGGCAAAGGAACACAATCAAAAACAAGGAAATTATCCAAACCAAAAGACAACAAATTTCATCTTTGGTACATGGGAAATATAAATAATGTCAGGTGTAAACTAAAAGAACCCATTTATGTAACCTTCCAGTTGTATACTTTTTATCTTGACTGTAAAATTTCTTTCATTTAATAACAAAGGATAAAATTAAGGTTTATGCATCCTTTGACATCTTTCACTTAGCTATAATTACTTTAACCACAGAAGTTTGAAATATAATTAAAGTTGCACTGTGGTTTCACTTGTAATGATTTATTGCACCGGCTGCTTTTTTGCTTTTGAAAGCCATCTATTAGGGTGTTAAAATGCTTTGAAACTAAAGCTTAAAATATGTGGCAATAATAAAATCCAATATTTAGTGTAACATTCAGAGTCACTGTCCCATGCAAAACAAAAAAACCCACCCACACTAGAAAAAATCAAAATCTAGATACACACTCCAAAATCTAGATAAGTCCATTTTTCTTAAAACAAGTGCATTTGTTCTTGGATTGAGGAGGTGAGAGGCATTTTGCCAATGGAACTAGACAATTTACACTTAAAATAAGAAAACAAAATTGCATTGTCTTATTTCAAGTGCATTTTATCTAATTATCTTATTTCAAGAGTAAAAATACTCATTCCATTGGAAAACTATATTATTTACCTACTCAAATTGAGGGTAAATACACCTAATTTAAGAATTTTTTACTTATTTCTAGATTGTTTTTCCAGTGCACCACCCTACAGAAACAGAAAAAGATAAAATATTCAGGTTGTTTATGTTTTACCTATAGGATGCCAGACATTGATGCAAGTACTGATAATTCTTCCCCTCCCCCTATTTTCACTCTAGATTTACTTTACTTTTTACTTCCTGTGTTGCAGTTTTTTTTGTTTCTGTGATAACATTTGTTTTTTTAGTATGAATTTTTGTAGAATTTTTTTTTTT